CAGCGAATTAAGAAAATGAGGAAATCATAGCAGACTGTAATGATAACCCTTTAACAAGGATGAAGCTGGTTACTTTATTTCCGAAGGTTCACCCTTTAATAAAGGCCACTCGCAGCGGTGATAGAAGTTAGTGATTCCACGTGGCGGAATGTCATACATTATTTCCAGCGGTGTCATTTTCATTATATCGATATTAAGCTCGCGGGACAGTCACATCGCCGAGGAGTATGGCGTCGCGTTTAGATAATAGACGTATCGAGAGGGGGAGGATAATGCGCGAGCACGGTTGGGAATTTTTGAAACAAAGAGCATGGAAATGCCGGTTACAAACAATGTTGCATGCGACCCGCCGTTACGTGCCCCTGCGTTTACGTAATCATGAAAAACCTCGGCACTGTCGGAGGGTTTACTTAACACGGCAGTAATAAACATGTCGTTGCGTTGCTGACTCACCGATCAACTTTTCTAGACGAAATTACTAACATTATCTTTATCTGAAACTTTGTAAAACAATCTCTCGTTGGTTAGAAGAAATGCAGACATAATTAAAAATGGAATATAATATCAGCCATTTGTTTTTTGTACTCGCTTTTATCGCGAAGGATTGCTAACATATCTATCTGAGTGTGCCGATACAAAATTGACGAGTCGAGTGAATATCTCTATCATTACGCAACCCTATCGAATCATTAGTCATCACAATATTTCTTTCGCTAAGAGATTGTTCCATAAAAATCGATATTCTTCGTCGAGGGGCAAGCGAAAGGTATTTCAACAAATGCAAGACGGACTCGATTGTTCATTCCCGATGGAAAATAATATAGTCCGACTTCGAAGGGTTGAAAAAATGTCGAAGAGGGTCGCTCGATAACGAAAGACAATTCTTTCCGAGGCATTAGACACAAGGCCTCCGCGTTAGTCGAAGTGCTTTCGACGGCATTCCTAGGGCCCTCAAACTCACCCCACATGTAACCCGGCGCCCTCTCGACGATGCATAGGGGTGTACTGTCGCGACACTTGCGCATTGGTCCTCGAGCACCCGATTTAAGAGTCACAGCCCTCCAGCCGATTATAACGTTAAGAGGAAACAGTGGTCTGGATCGGTAATTAAACAGCAAGGGAATGAACAGGCCAGAACACTCGAGTTACGCTACAAAACCACCGGTGTAAATCCGCGGGCAGTGTCGATTAAATCACGTACGAATCGCATGTACGAAAAATCCCCAACCATCGTCTCAATAAAAGATCATAAAACGCTCGAGTAAAAATCAGTTGAATCTGTATCGAATAAACTAATTCTCATTCGTACCTAAACACAATTGGCATGACAACTAACGCATCAAAAAGAAGAAACCATCCTGGTCTCGTATCATTCAAGAAATCCCGAGGAACCCACCCCGCGATCCCCGATCGCGGAGACGAAGAATCCAAAATGGAGGACCGCGCTAGGCCTGCCCGCCCTCGAGTTTCCCCGTCTACCCGCGTATCTCCGGTCTCGTAATTATTTTTTTCGCGAAATCTGGGGATCTCGATCAGGCGATTCGGCCTCCCCTCGGCGATCGCGGCGATTCGTCGAGGGTGCGAGGGAAAGGGCGTACATACACGTATATATCGTTTCGGGTCTCCGGGGCTGAGCTGCGTGGCGTAGACCCATTTGCGATGCAGGTAACACACACAGGCCCCCCCTCGAGGTATCTTCGGAGCTTCGTAGCAGGGGCCGGTGTTGCTTCCTGTACGTGTGAACCGGGCAACTCGGGGGAACGGGACGGGCCGGGACGGGACGCGGGCGCGGGCAGCGCGCGTGTGCCTGCACACCGCGCCGACGGACAACACGCGTCTGTGGTGGACGATGTGCACATGCAGACACCGGGGCAAAACCTATCTGCCATGCACGATCGCTCGGTTGCATATAAGCCGAGACGCGCAGCACGTCATTACGCGGGCAGAAAGCAAAAAGACGATAGCCTCGCGGCCGGCCAATCGGCGCTCGCGTGCTAATGAATCCGAACCGACCCGACCAATCGCGTGCACCCTGCACACCGCTCCCGGTGAACCCGGTGCTAACCCTCGTGGCGATATGCCGCGGCACTGGGATACACGATCCGGGTGTGGTGGTTGCGCGCCCCGTCGCCCTCACCGCCGGGGATCCTTTTTTCTGCGATCGGGATCGCGGGTCCCGGCACGCCGGATTTTTCAAAATTTTCGAATAGTTATTACGCAACCAGCTACCCCTTGGGCTCCGTTAATTTATCAGCCGCGGCGAATCTGCGGAGAGCTAGGGAGAGAAGACGATCCACCCCTCCGGTTGGGAAACCTGTTCGGTTCCGCGATTTTTTTAGGGAACGTTTGATGCTTTATCGGTGGCTTTTTGGATTGAACGTTAACGTTGGAAAGGCTTGGGATAGATTCTAAGAGTCCGTTGGTTACGAGGCATTGAAGTAATTTGGTGATGTAATTTTGTTTGGGGTGGATTATCGTAAAAATTGATTTGAAATATTATGGAGGATTGAAAGGTGTTTTGATACGGTTAACAGAAATGTATTGGAGTTGTGATCTATCTTTGTTCAACCTCTATATATAGATCTCCGATTTTTCCTGCGACAAACCTGCTGCGATGCATGCGTCTCTTCGCGATTAGTCGCAGTGCATTGCACAATTCTTGCATAAGTGATGCATATGCCAGTCACGGTTCTTAATGAAACGCTCCATCTTTTTGTGGGCATCTTTGATATTCATTGGGGAACTATCGACGCTTCTAAAGCAAGTTTCAGGATTAATCGTCTGCATCTAGATCTCCTGATCAGATCGAGCGTCGATAACAGGAAAATAGTATCTGACTCGACCGGCAACTCGTTCGTTTCCATTTCAGGCGTTCTCAACGAATCAGCCTCCATATCGCGAAGCAAGTGCTCCAGTTGATGAACAAAAAGGATCAATACCGAAACCCACAATCCCAAAATCATCCCGCAATTAACCAAAAAGAGAGAACCATCGGAGAACGACTCCGCCAGCTGCCATTGCCCGAACACATCGACCGAAAAGTTCATCGATTCTTTTTTTCTCCGCTAGTAATCCAGTTTCTCCTAAACTATCGGTTACAAAGTATCAAAGCCGACCGCAAGGTATATTTAAGCACGCAAGAAGAGATTCGATTCGACGGTGACCGGATTCACCCATACACTGGAAACACGCGTTGCCTGTGTACGTGCGTACGTGTGTGCACGCGTGTGTTCCCGGCCGCGTGTGCGCGTCCTTTCTCGCCGCGGAAAATATAATGATGGCGAGCGGAGCAGCGAGCGAGCGAGCGAGCGAGCCAGCGTTCGTCCGTTCGTTCGTTCGTTCGTTCGTTCGTTCGTTCGTTCGGTCGGTCGGTCGGGACTCGCGTTGGAAACCGGCGATAAGGAGGGAGTGTCTACTGCCGCCATAATGATAGCCCTGAGCGGCTCTCTGACTCCGGTACACGCTGCACCGAGCCGTGCGGTGTGCACGTTGCGCCGGCTATATGAGGTCTACCCGCTGTGTGCACATGCACCGGAGCCGAGCGGTGCACGGCATGCAGGCACGCATGCACGCACTTTACGTGTCGCCGGACCCAGACCCGAGGAAAGAAGGAGAGGAACAATGAGCGAGTTTCTTGCCGCGACTCGCACACCTTCGGGAACCTTGTCCCTCCATCTTCCTGCGCGCAGCTCGCGTCTGGCCGCGTGAGGGTGGGATCTAATTCAATTTAGAAATTCTAATGGAAACTCTGTACGAATCGGGAATCGTTCGAGTCTAACTGAAAAATCGTAAATATAGGACGCGTGGAATGTTTCAGATGTTCATAGATTGATGTGGTCAAAGTAATTCCGCTTATCGAATGTATAAGAATGCGATAAATGAGAATAAATGAAGAGATGTTAGGCTTCTGGGAAGAGGAATATTGTTATGAGTATCTTTGAACGTCTTCCGACAACGTCTCCTCTCGCGACATTGCTCAAAAGCGGCTCGTCTTGGTGCGCTTGTTAGGCGATCCCTAAAAATTGAACGAGAATCATTGGGAAGTCCTGCAATTCGATCGAGACAATGCATTCCGTGGCATTCCGTGCCGAAGAATAAATTGAAGTGCGGCGGATAGAATTCCCTTTCTTCCTTTCCCGTGGATATTCATTCGCATTCCGGCATACTTTTACGATTCCTAATGGAAAAGGGGATGGAAGATCCGAACGGAGGACGTCGACATTTTTCACTGGGGTGGATACTTCACTTCGCGAAGTTACGGAATCGTTTCCTGTAATCTGCCCGTTCGATACCGACTAAGCCCCAACCGGTCCTGCGACGTTTTTACGCGAGAAATCAGGATTTCGCGGGAGCGACTCCGAACGATTCCATAATTCCCGAGAAAACCATGGATTCCGTTGAATCTTTCATTAAGCTCGATTACCAGCGATGATTACGTTCTATTAATCTCGCCGGGAGGAAGAGGACGGATGTAGCGGTTCTTAACGAGCATTGATATTTTATCGACATTGAAATTGATACCTCGTCGGCCACTTATTCCGCTCGAATGCCAGACGCATCCGTCGAATCCTGATCCCGGGTTGCCGGGGTCTTTTTGTGGTCGGGATGAAATTCGTCGGAGCCAGGAAACGATCGGTTTTCAAACGACAATTAACGTCTAACTCCGCGAGCCTGAGATGCCACGTTGGACAGCAAAGTTTCGACAAAGTTGGCAACGATCCAGGAACTGTCACAGTTGTCCGGTGATACAATAACAGCGCGTCGGAAAAATTAATTGAACGGTGGAGGCGCATCGATTGAAAGAAATTCAGACGAAAGATTCAATGCGGATGGAGAGAAATATATTATCGGGTGAACTAATTCATAACTTTGTTATTCAAGGTGAGGTATCTGTGTCTTGTTCGAATTAAAAGAAATTCGAGTGGAACTATCGAACATTTCCTACGTGCGTAAACATAATACCGTTATGAGTTGAGTAATTTACAAATTCGCATAGTCACCTGAATGTTCGCGCGTTGTCTTCCATACAGGTGGCCAGTCACGTGGTCCCCGGAGCGACCGCCATATTCTTACGCCAGCGTGATCGCCGTCGCCCACGAAGCGGCAACGTTTCCAAGTCCATTGTCTTCCAACGATACTCCTCCAACCGTTTCTACAACTCACCGATACTTAAAAGTCACTTGAAAGTTTCAAATGAACCCGCATACCCAGCAAAGAATTCCATACACTCTAGAACCACGTACCTTCTCGAAATCTCAAAAATGTAGCACAAAATTCACTCGGTCCCCCGAACATCTCGGTATGAATTCCGATCACTGAAGCAACTCTATCTGTATCAACCTCGAAAGGCTTCTTTCGAGTAGTCACTCGAGGCCCACGTGATCGAAGAAAGAACTCCGTTATCGGTCGGCCATTATCCTCGCGGCGATTCGTCCGGAGGTTTCCCGTTCCGCGGCGAACGAAACTTTTTCCGTCGTCCGCAGGGAGTTCGGCACGACGAGGAAACACTTTGCCGTGCCGGGAGCATGTGACAATCCGCTCGCATCGAGGACCGAGGAGAGACTCTATAAGGTGGTTTCCATCCCCCAATAGCGGCTGGCGCGCTGGCGGACCCGACGCTGCAATCATTCCCCGTAATGATTGTCATTACCGGGAACGGGAGGGCGAGCGAGCGAGCGGGTGGACGAACGGGGCAGAGGGATTGGCCTGCATTGCGATTGCGTTTCTGTCTGATCCCATTGGCCGACAAACCGCGACTACGGCCGAGTCCTCTCTGTTCCGGTAGACTCCCGGTGACTTCAGCCCCCGTGGCCCGCGCGTAATTTCACCTCTTTTGCCGATTTCTTCGCCGGCCCCGGTAAAAAACGGTTTTCGGAATCGATCCGGCCATCCCCGGGGTACCAATTCGCGAGAAACCTCCGTCGCCTGCTCGGCTAATGGGCGCCGGTGCGTCCCGCCGCCAGAGCAAACTCGATAAATAGAGATCTCTCACGGGGCCCGTCGTAATGACGTACTGCGAATAGAAGGATACGGCGCGCGCGAGATCCTCGGACGTGCACTCGTGGAATTTCTGACGAATGATTGTACGTTTCCCCGGTCGAACACCTTCGGAAACCTAAGTTGCCCACCCCACGTTGCGAATGGAACGCTTATTTGCCTGTTATGTTGGTAACCATCACCTCTGGCGAAAGATTTCAAAGTTAGTAACGATCCGGAATGTTTTCGTGGCTCGAGGTTGGTGTGTGTACGCCGGCGATCGCGTGATTCTTGCGGAACGTCGAGGAAAACGCGTAGAAAATCATGTTTCTTCGGTGTCTTCATTGTTAAAAGAAATAGTAGGCTTTTCGTTCGTAGAATTAATCATCGGTTTTACAGGGTATAGGGAACATGTTAATTCCACTTATCTAGAGAGCAATTTTCTGGAAACGTGTCGGGGCTGTGTAAAATATTATTGAATCAAAGCGTTCAAATACAAGTTCCATACGTCTAATCAATCCGTCGCTGAAATCTTGAAAAACATTTACAGTGCGGCAGTTGCCGTTCGGATGCTTCCATCGAGATCGTCGCGTCATTCGGATCGTAATAAAGCGACGATCGATGAGCCGAAACGCGGCCGACGTGTATATCGGTTCAAGGGGGGTTTAAAGTGTTAGTGAAAAGAATGGATTTTCAGCGAGAAGCTTTGGGAGAGGACATCAAAGCACCAGATATCACGGTAGGGCCTTTCATGGCTGCCATTATCGCGTTACTTCCGCGTGGCCGAACGTCATTTGCCTCACACCCCCGTGATGATTTGAGGGCAACCGAGCCACCGACCCAACCCCTCGGTAGCTTGTTGGGGCCATTATGTTACTGCACCGCAGCGGATCTACATTCGTGTCGAATGGTACCGATGCAGATTTCTCTGTCGACCGGCACACAGGATAAAACAGCCGTGGCAAATATTTATTCCACTGTATTTTAATACCTCCCGATGTTCCATAATAAAAGAAGCCTCGTCAACCTCCGCGAAAACGCGGAGACATATAAATCACCGAAGTTCCCTATGAAATCTTCAATATCCGCGAACAAAAGCTCCGCGTTCAAGAAAATACTTCTCACCGTCCCCACTCCTTAACCCCCGCCATTACTCGTAGAATCCCGCGGAAAAATTCCCGAACACTCCGCGGGAACGTTTACAAGAACCGCGCCGGGAACGGAATGGAACGAAGCGACATTAAGAACTAAAATCCCCGGGAAGGAGAATCATTTGCAGCGCTGTTCACCCTGTATTTACCGGAAGTGCGCGCGGAGAAAACATTCGAAAACCGCGAACGGACCGCGAAGACTTCAAAGCCCGGCAGTATCTTGGAGTGCGCTCTTGATGACGTCGCGGTCCTCGAGAACTCCAGGCGCGCGCGCGGCCGTCGGGAAATCGGTTTCCCGGGATTCGCGCGGTCTCGCGGCGATCCACGCCGGAAGAAAAGCGGTGTCGAAGATCTCACGGTCGATTATCTTTACGGGCGACATTACCGAACCATTAGGAAGCTGTCGCCGTCAGCCAGGCCGATGACGGTACGCCTGTGACGTCGACGGCGAGCCACGAATTCGCGCAACGCCCGCCGCGCGGAGGGGAAACGGGGCGAAATGGCTCGTCTCCCTTCGTCTAAGAGCCATCCCCCGCCTCGATCCTGGTCCTCGCTTCTCCGCCGCCTCCCGCCCCCTGCATTAAGCACTTCGCAACGACAATTTGCGATACATTTGCAACTGCCGCCGCGACTTCATATTCCATTCCTCCGCCGCCGGAAAATTTCACCCGAATGCCACCTGACTGCTCCGGCAGCTCTGAGAGCCCAGCCACCGACGATAGACCGGCAGTTTCTGATCGAATGATTCCGAGGACTCGCTTTTTGCCCGGGCCGTAGGATAAACGTCATGGTTCTTTAATCCGTGACTGGGATTCGCTTTTACTGTGTCGCTGGTTAACAGTTAAGTCAATTTTACGGGGATAGAGTCGGTTGTTGAGTTTTTGTTTGAGTCGAGTGAGCGAGCGATGGAATTGTTTAGTTGAGGTTGATTCGAATAATATGGGGGTGAGTTTTCAGTCGTGGAAGATGACGGAAACGTGTGTAGATGTCGAAACGAGTGGGTTCTTATTATTTTGGTTCTTCTGGTAATAGTAATTGGGTCTTTGTAGATTGAACGATTTTATCGCGTTTTCTACAATCACCGTTTCTCACGTTAAGCTTCGAGATTCCTCTTTTAGAGGTTTAATGGCAGAAGATTTGAATATTTTACTCGAATTCGTGGAAACGACGCGCAGACGCTGCTCGGACTGAAGTGTCGAAATAGATGCAGGAAACGCGGTTCTTCCTTGGAAAGCAATTATTTTTAAAAACCGTAGAAAGGTGTGAAGATAGTTCACGGCCCCTAGACGAACGTCGTAACAATGAATTTATAATAAAGTCATTTTAAGGCCGAGTTATTAAGAAACTTTATCAGTGGTTGAATTACAGAACTCGTTTCCAGCGCATCGAGCCATGAACCCACGAAAGCGGTAATTTAAACAACGAATGCGTCTGTGGATCGTTAATTAGGATCGTAACTTTCGAAGTAATCTGGAATCGCATTTCACGGTGTACCGATGTGCCGCGCACGAAGTCGATTTATCAGCGAGGCCAACCGTTGTCATGGGGATGCGACCCGCCCCCTTTAAACCGGCTTGCAACCCCCATGCAAACCGCGCATGGAGTCACGGGAATAGCTTCCAGAAGTTAACTAAGACCATTTACCAAAAAAGAAGAAAACAATTTCCCTCTAATTAGAAGTCTTTAGAGCTTCGGGAAAAAGAAAGGGAATTTCTGCTCGATCACGTTAGAAGAACGAATTTCCTTCGTCATTCTATTAAAAATCTGGGGAACAAGGAATCCTGGAAACTCTTTCTTCCTCCTGCCGACTGATTTCTCACGAAAGTCAACAATTATCTGCCGCCAAGATCTCGTTCGCACGAGGATTTCCCGAGATAAAGATCTGAGATCTATCGGTCTGAAACTTTCGGTTCAGGAAACTCTAAATCAATATCCCAACCGTCATATGGCACAATTTTCAAGTAACAAATACTCCAATCATTATTCATTTATAATTGTAATAGACGATTAAATAATAATAATACTTATTGAACAAGTAACTAACTGACGATCTGTCAAGAAACCAACGCTTTCCGCTGCACGCCAATTTCTTCTATCAATCAACAAGCGGATATCCACGTTTAAAACCACGCGAAGGCTAATTCCGCGTTGAGTGGCCAATAAATTATCAAATTGAAGAAACCACGGGGGTGGCGCGATCGAGTCGAATCATTCAGACTTAATAACTCTTTCGCGATTCATCGAACTCCACGGGCGAACGTTCTCGTTCGCCTAACTGTCCATAATTGCGGGACAATGGTAGCCATGTTTCGAGGCTAATTGCCGGCTCGGCTCGGATATTCCCGCCATTTTTGGCACGGAGGATCCGCGGCGGTCGTCTCGCCCACGCGAGGAAGTCCCGTGCGCGTCTCTGGATCCGTTTTTTTTCCTCTCCCGGTTCGCGATACGGCAGCTCTCTCCCACGAGTCCGCTCCGTGAAAGGTATCCGCGGCACTCCTACTTAATTGTTGTTTATATCAAGCAATTTTTTCAAGCCTCGCCGCGCGCGGGCACCGTGTGTGCACGCATTAAAGGAGGAGCCCCTTGTCCGTGATGCTCGCCGGTCTTTTGTCGTTCCGTCGTGGTAGGCCGCATTTTTAACCTTTGAACCGGCGCTGACGCACGGCCGCCGCCTCTTTGCGTCCCGACGTTTGCAAACGGCACTTCTGTAATTTCACAGAAGCGAATGGAGTGTTTTCCTTTCTCCCGCGACGATCCTCTCGCCCTTTGTCCGACTCTTTCCGCGCTCGAATGAACCGCGGGTTCGTTGTGTCCCTTTTAAAACGGTGCTCGCGGACGGTGGCGGGACGCGAAGGTATTCGAATTCTGTAGAATTCGTTTCAGGCTAACGCTTAAACAACTCCGTAATATTTCCCGCTCTAATCTACTGCCGGTGAGTTTCCCGACTGAAACTGAAATGTAAATAAAATAATTGAAAATTTACATCTCTATTGCACTTGCACTTGATTATACGGAGGTAATCAGTACTTCTTCTTTTAAAGTAGGCCTAGTAATTTCCTTCTAATATTTTGTATAGCTTAATAACAACCAGTAGAACTAGTAATTAGGAAGGGTAAATACGAAAAATCTGGCAACCGGTTTTTCTTGTATGATGATTCCAGTACGGAAACTCTCGCGAACCGCCTTTTAAATACTAATTAATCTAAGAATAAGCCGCGACCCTTCTGTAAACAACTAAAACGTTCACGATTGTCTAATCTGTAACATTAAACATTCTGTTCGTAAACGTTCCTCCTGGAAAGGGATCGGAAATACAAGATCTCAATTCTGAGATATATCCAATTAATCGGACGCATAATACGATGCACGAACGGTACACGATAATGATCATTTTTATGGGTGGAAATGCAATTTGCTACATTAT